CTAGTTTAAAGCTCGCCGTATGAGATCAGCCAACCTCGATAGGAAAACACAAAGGACAGAAGGATGCTACTGGTTTGTTTTTCTCATCCAAATGAAAATGCTTGCTCCTAAGAAAGCAAGGGAACAGCTGTGGCAATCAGATTGATTTTACACTGAATTTGGGCATAGTTTTTCTGGAAAATGAGCTGGAATATATTGATGGCACAAACCATGTGCAACCTGAAGTGTGTGTTTCAGATAATCCCATCTGTCCCTTGAATTACAGGCAGGGTGGTGTTTGGGGGCAGGTCTGAAAAAGAAGAACAGCATCTTTCCAGGTCAGTCTGAAGAGAGCGCTCCTTGACTCGGTGCAGCATGAAGGAAGGCGTGTTGGTAGGGATGGTGTGAACTCTGGCATTGCTGATGGAATGGAGTGGGAGGGGCACATGCACAACGGGGTGCACAGAGACAGGGAGAAGATCAGAGTGATTAAAATCCTTGAGAGGCCAGGATGATTAGGAGAGGAGGATCCCATGGTTTGGGAAACAGTTGGGGTCAGCGTGGGCAAGAGAACACAAAGGAAACGTCATGCTGTCTGGACCAGAGAAGGAGGTGATGTGGGCACTTGGGAGAAGAGAGAGGTATGTGAGCTGGGAAGGACCTCAGTGAGAGTTTTGGCTTTCTGAACAGAAATTAAAGGCAGACCTGAAAGCTGTACTGGGGGAGGCAGCAGCAAGATTTGTACACAGTTTGGATATGGCAGGCAAGGGAGAGAGAGCCCTCACAGCTTGACTGCTGGGTTACAAACCCAAGTGACAGGAAGGGGGACTGTTGAATTGTCACAGCAACAGAAGTAGCCACTCAGATCCATGGATGAAGTAAACCAGTAGAGCTACATCACCTGGATTCCAGCCATGGACTGGATGCTTCCTCAGTCTGGGGAACGCACATAAGTGGCAGAGGCCCAGCGCTTCCAGGGGTCCTGGCTCTAGGACACGACCTCCAGGACTGCCCTGTGGCTGGGTACCCTGAGGTTCTGGGACAGCTGGACCTACTTAGATGTCTAGGCTATCTGCCTTGGAGTCCTGGCACTAGCCAGAGACCCTGGCCCTGGAATCCCGGGGCCCCTGCTCAGTGAAGCTGACAAAAATGTCAGCTGCAGGGTCCAGGAGACCTTTTGGATTGGTGTCAGTGTATCTGCAAAAATATTTTCTCCAAATTTTTGGTGTGTGGGCAGTGCCCACATCTGGGACAAGTTTTTCATAAAAACTCACACAGTTATTCTATTGCGCTCAAGGGGTATTCACTTACCAGTCCAAAGCAGGTGGACAGCAACAGAACTGGTATAAACTAGGGAGACAATCATTTCAGCTAATTTTCTTGCCCTGAATTTGATGATGGTTATAAATAGAGACTTTTGATATTTTAATTGGCCCGCTAAAATAAATGACTTTCCCTGGACAAGTAGGATTTTTTTTTTGCATGGCTAGTTTAAACTCACTAAGCCCAAGGGAGGCAGGTTTCTTAAGCTGGCTCCTCCATCAGTACTGAGTGGGTAAACTAAGATTTTCAAAAACCGATGCCTCCTCTACTCCCAGAGAAGGAGGTGCATTTGGATTGGATCACCATGGGACAGCACAGTGGGATATATGCCACTGTCCTGTCCTGCCTTCAGCAACCTGAGCCACTGCGGAGTTTGATGTAGGCTCTGTTGAACTGTTCATTTACGTTTCTTTCCTTCTGTCTGTCTTTCTATTAATGTCAAAGAGGCCCAGATCAGGAGACAGGGTCACATTTTCTTATGCAATGCATTTTCGTATGCAATATTTCCTGTACAATAGAGAATTTACTGTCTAGCCATCCTGTTTCTCTCCTTCTGGGTGTAAAAGCTGCCCTCATTCCCTCTTACTTCTGTTGCCCTGAGCATCCTGTTCACTCACTTCTCATTTCTCTATTTGTTCTTCCAGGGTCTATATCATGTCCAGGTAAAATCTAGTGCCTGAGGTGAGAAACAACCTGGGACAACACCAACAAGGAGTTAAGGGATCTGTGTCCCTCATCTGGTGAGGGAAGCGTTCTGAAACCTTCCCCAAGAGCCTGCTGGTGAAATCACTTCCCCATAACCCTAGTAGGGATGGAGTCCAAAGGAATCGCACGCAGTGGAGGCAAACCTGACGTCAAGGCCACCAGCACAGGGAAGCCAGAGAAACCCAATCCTGGGCCTGCCACAAATGCAGACAAGAAGGAGACCCCTTCCAAGGAGCAGCCTGCCCCTGCCCCCACCACCACTACAACGAAGAAGGCAACCAGCGAGGCTGCTGTGGCAAACAACCACAGCAATCTGAAACCTAGCCCAGCAGCCACGGAGACGCCAGAGGCCACCAGCCAGTCCTCTGACTCTGAGCATAAGGGAGACAGCACCGAGGAGTCCCCGGGCAGCGTCTTCGACAATATGAAGCCCTTGATCGTCGTTGGAGGGGTGGCAGTGGCTGCTATCGCTGTGATTCTGGGTGTGGTGTTCCTAGCCCGGAAAAAATGAAGACCGAGAAAGGGTTGGGGAGAGGAACCGTATCAATTGTACAGCTCCTTTTGAGAAAAATGCATGCAGTAAATTCTATACATATCTATACTTATATCTATAGAGAGAGAGCTAGATAGGCAATTACAACACCACCAACAACTCCAAAAGGCTTGCTCAAGACAGATGTACCCATTCAACCTAAGTGTGGGATTACCATGCACTCAATGTGTTCTCTCATGTAATAGAAATTGGCTTGTACCACTGTGTATTGATTACAGCTTCTCCTGATCAGTGTAAATGATGGTGTCCCCTCCCTGCACCTGCTGCCCTCTCCAGAAGAGTCCCCACTTTCCCCATTTTCAAGTCTACATCCCATACAGAGTCCTCACTTTAGTATTTGTTTTTTGTTTTTTTCGGTAGAGTTGTGGTAGAGGAGATGATGAAAGGGAGGGGAACAGTACTGAGACCCAGTTCATTCATTATTGTGGTATATTGTTAATATAGCACTCCAGGTGTGTGCTGGATAAGAGGAGGCAGCCCCTTGCTCAGACAGCTTAAAGTGATATCTGATGGGTACATTGTGCATCTAACGCTCATCGACCTACCTTAAAAGAAAAACCAAGCAAAGTAACAAGAGTATACCATAGCCACAGGCTGAGATCCCAACAGGAGATAGAGGCTTGTAGATCTCATAGCAAGAAGGCACCCTTTCTCTATCTGAGATGCAAACCAGGGCCAGGAGCAGCTACCATGAAGCTCAAGGGGCCAGTGTGATCCACTAAGATCTACAGTGTAGGCTGCAGTCCACAGAGACAACATGCAAAGCTGGAAGCCCCACTCCTATCTTTAGTCATACAAAGGACAATTTCATGCCTTCAGCACCCCAACAATTTGTCAACTCATAGAAGGTTATAAGGGCAAAGTTGGGCAGTCCCTCTCAAGAGAATGAGGGAGGAGATATTGTTTAGGACACAGCATTTGACAAACTTGAGCTGGCCTTAGTAGACCCTTAAGGACTTGCGCCAAATCCCTCTGTAGTTATTCAGAGTCTTTCCATTAATTTTGGTGGGTTTTGGATCAGACCCTTTATCCTGGGGCTTTTCCAAAAAAGGTTGACCTTTCCCCATCAGTTAAGAATGTAAAAGAAAAGGAAGACAACCAACACCTGGCTTTCAGGGCAAATGGCACAAAATACCATGGCCTCTTTTATGTCAGGAAAATCATGTGCCTGAGTAGTAAAAACAGATTGGTTCTAGAAAAGATTTTGCTCCTTTCTTTCTTAAATTTACCAGGAAAATATGAGACATCCATTGTTTCATTGTTTGAAAATGGAAACAATTTCCCAGTGATCAGGTGCAGAACAGCTTGGTTTTGTCATTGAGGACCCTGAAATCTGAAAATCAGATAAGGAAGGGAGGGATGAAGAAAGGGTGTTGAGAGAGAGAGAGGTGGCTTGATTTAACACATTCACTCATGCCCTTCTTGTGACATGGAGAGCACTGGCCATACACCGTTATTCTGAGGGTTGAGTGACCTTTTCAAATCAACAGCATCCATGAGGACCCACATTTCCTGCTGCTCTTGCCAGAATCTGTAAATGATTTTTTTTTTTTTTTTTTTTTTTTTTTTTTTTTTTTTTTT